GCCGAAGCGCCGTCCTCGGCGACGGGGCCCGGGAGGGCTGTCCTGCGGGGGCCCCAGGCGGAGGGCGTCTCCTGAGGCCCCTGCCCTCCAGGGGAGACTCCCTGCTCGGTTGCCCGCTGTCCACATGGATGCGAGCTGTTACCCCGATGCCGGCTCCTAGGGTGACTCAGCAGATACAGCTCGAACGAGGGTTGTGTGCAGACTTATTGCCTCCTGGAGTGGTGACTCTCCGGGGCTGGGGACAACACGCAGTGGCCGGAGCGGTTTAAAGTTCTGCCAAGTCAGCACATTTAGAAACAGCGACTATCAGCGTCATTTTATAAGAATGGTTGTAAACACTTTCATGACGAATATTCCCACGATAAACTGTTAGGTTCAAATGCAAGGACATACCCTTGGGGTGAATTCCTACAGTGGGAATTTCCTATTTTTATTGCTATTGTGAACGAGGGATTTTATTGGATGTGGTAGGTTGCTATTACTGCTGCAGTGCTGTTCGCACAGTGAGTTTTACTCTTCTGATTGTAGCTGAAGGCTGTTTAAACAACTTTATAATACAATGGTTTCAGAACTAGTTCTTTTGTTTTCGAGCTGGAAGACACCGGTGAGTTTTCAGAGTCGCCCAGACAAACGGAAGCAGCACTTTAAGAGGAGTGAATCTGACATCAGTTTGTTTCCGTTTTTAGAGCCACTGACTGCGGTCACCTAATTTTTGATCGCTTTGGGTTGAAAAAGATGAACAGCCATGTGCGGAGTTGTGCAAAGATGACTAAGTACCTGTTCTTCCCAAACGGCTTTCAGGTGATGCTGAAATTACTTTGTCAAACAGCTCAGGTTTTCGCTGACATCGTGCTGGAGTATCACTTACTCATTTCCATTCATGTGAACACTTTGCCTCTGTCTTCTGCTTTCTTTGCGGAGGGAGTTCCCTGAAACAATCTGCACATCCTTGAAGTCTTTCTACCAAAAAGGAATAAATTATAACTTAGAGGATGTGGGATACCCACCCTGCTCATAGCAGACCCCCTCCACCCATCCTCTCTCCAGCCTCCAGCCTCCAGCCTCCACCCACCTCTTTCCTCTCAGGCCAGCTGCCCAGAGTATGTACCCCTCTGGTCTGACTTGATGTCCTGAATTTTTACAGGAATCTTTCATTAGTGGGTTTTCTGGAGCTGCTGGTGCGTCGGTAAAAAAGTTTAGTTCTGGGGTTCACTATTAGAATTTTCAACATTGCTGTACCACAAAGCTGCATTTTAAAACAGTTCTTTCAGTAATAAAGCTGACATGTTGGTCTTCACGCGTTTCCCACCACTGTCTATCTGTTACTTACTTACAAACTTAGTTGGGTAAAGGAGGAATTTAATTTTGCCCCCCTTTAAATCACTGATAGCTAATGTATATATTCAAAAGATATACACACATTTCAGACCAATTTTGGGAATTACACGCTAGATATGAGGGAAGGAGTAAGAGCTGAATCGGGGGGTGGTTATAGGGCAAATATACAAGAATCTACAATATGAATTTTAGAACAAAAATGCTGAGTAGAGCAAGCACTGTCAAGGGGCATATGTGATGACAAATAAGAGGAGCTCCTGAAAGAATAAACGGTTTGAAAAACGTTTTAAAACAGAGAGAACTTTGACCAGCAGAACAAACGGAGGGCCTAGTTCTGGAGTCGGCAACTCCTAGAGATGTCAGTTGTCTATTAAGGGCTCAGCCACAAGGGTGAGCTTCCCGAAGGGGCTCATTCTCAGCGTCTGTCTGGGCATTGGCGGTCCCCCTGTGAATTCAGTTGACTATGTTTTAGCCACACCAATAGAAACCTGCAGACACTTTATATAAACTACCAGGTGGACCCTTGGGGGCCCTGAACATCATGCCATTCCAACTACAAAGTGTGCTTATAGTTGCAAATACAACTTGGTTTCAAAAAACGTTCACAGGCAGTATTCTGCAAGGCCACCAGATGGCGGTCTTCCCGCACGCAAGCAAATAAGGTGGCGTTTGAACTCCTCAAGGTCTGCTTTGACCACGAAGGTCACAATGGGGACTTCAACGCAAACTTCTTAAAATTCAGTAAAATGAGGACTCCAGTTCCTCAGTGGCATCAATCACATATCGAGAATCCAACAGCCACATGTGGCTCATGGATACGCTACTGGCAGTGCAGAACGCATTTCCATTATCAAGAATTTTTTCGATTATTTTAAAATTAGTTTAAATTAAAAAATGAGGAAGTTTTAGAGAATGATGATTCTTCCCACTACTTATAACGCCAAACAAGGGTAAAATTTTTTAAATGTCTAGCAAATTTTGGTCATCTGAATTGTGATATAAAGGTATCCTGAAATATTACATAGCCATTAAAAATAGTATTTTCTTACAGTGTGGGAGAATGCTTATGGTATAATTTTAAAGAAATAAAAAGGGAAAGTGTGTATGTGTGTGTGTGTGTGTGTGTGTGTGTCTACATATATATATACACATGTATATTTCTAAACTCAAAATGGATTAAAGACCTAAATGTAAGACCTGAAAATGCTTCCGATAAGCAGAACACTCTGACATAAATAGTAACAATATTTTTTGGATCTGTCTCCTTAGACAAAAGGAACAAAGTTAAAAACAAACCAATGGGATCTAGTTAAATTTAAAAGCTTTTGCACAGCAAAGGAAACTACTGAGAAAACAAAAAGACAACCTGTGGAATGGGAGAAAATATTTTTAAACGATATGATTGATAAGGGATATGTAAGCATTGTATCTTCAAAATACATGAACAGCTCACACAACTCAGTATCAAAGAAACGAACAACCTGATTAAAAAGGGGCCAGAGGACCTCAACAGGCAACTTCCCAAAGAAGACAGACGGATGGCCAACTGGCACATGAAAGATGCTCAGCCTCACTAATCATCAGGGAAACGCACGTTAACACCGCAGTGCGGTGTCCCCTGCACACGTGGGGATGGCTACCGTGAAAAAGGCCACAAGCAGCAAAGGCTGGCGAGGACGTGGGGGAAAGGGACCCCTCGTGCTTTGTTGGTAGGACTAAGTGCCCGTCAGCAGATGACTGGATAGAGAAGACGTGATATACACGCGTGAGACTCAGCCATGAAAAAGAATGCAGTTTTGCCATTTGTAACAACGGGGATGGCCCTCGAGGGCGTTCTGCCTAGTGAAGTAAGTCTGTCCGTATGTTATCACTTTAAATTTCATAAAAAGGTAGACGAACTGGTAAGTACTTTGATATCTTTCCCTATTTTTTATATTTAGGAAAAATATATCAATGTACTTAAAATACGTAAAGAAAGCATCAGTGCTCTCGTCTCCTTCCTTCTAAACGCGTGAATCCGGCCCTTTCCACCAGCGTGAGGTAGTGACTCAAGACAGTGACTCGGGAAAAGCTGGTTTTGCTCTGGGAGGCAGAAGAAGAAAGAAACACGGTGCACGTATCGGTGTGTGACCAGCTCTTGGCGGTGCGTTTGTGATTTCCCTCTGAGCCTCCAAGACAGTGTCATATTTGCGAGGAGAAAGTGCATCAGTCCTAAATACTTATCCAGTGTAGGACTTGCTAACACAGAGAAGGGAAGCCCAGAGAACTGAATGGCGAGGCACGATGCGTGAATGACGGAAAAGGCTTGACAAGAGGCAGAGTAACTTGAGCTGGAGGCTGGGGACCTCACAGGACTCAGCTCTTCAGCTGGCCTCAGGGCCCTCCCTTTTACTCAGTTACTCCCTGGGTCTCCGAGCTCCGGGGCTCTCTGGGGCATTTCCGGGGCAGGCGCAGGGGACAGGGAGCGGGCCTGGGTGGCCATAGCGTCTCGCGGGGTAACAGGTGGAGTGGATGTAAGTGTACCTCTGTGGGGTCATGACGTCCATTCCAGACATCTGAGAGGGGGTTCAGATTTTCCTTGACCAGGGAGGCCACGAAGGACCCCTCCGCCCCGCTGAGCACAGACACAAGGTGTCCCGAGGCCGCTTCCTGCAGGCCATCTGTGTGGAGCAGGGAGACCGTGAGGATGAGCCTGAGACGTCAGCGGGGAAGGCAGGGCTGAAGGAGGGACAACGGGTGTGTTTGCACAAGGTGAGGGTGCTCGCTATCACCCTCAAACATCTCTTGAGAATGGGGTCCATGCACCAAACAACCTGGTCTCTAATTTGCTGGTCCTTCTCAGCCCTAGTGCGACTCCCAGAACTCACTTCTGCATCCGCCCAGGATCTGGGTGTTGTGAACAAGGCACAGCAGTACTCCGGAGCCACTGGCCACGGAGCCTGCGGGGCAGCTGATCCGTGCAGAAGGCAGATCCTTCCGGGCATGTTCAGCTGGGGAGGGAGACACAAAGGAGAGCGATGGGGTGAAATGGAGAGTGGGGACTGGAGTGGGGAGGGGACCTGGGACATATGTATGACGTCAGTGCTTGGGGAAGAGAACAGACCACTGACTGCCTCTCCCCATTGCCAACACTCTCAGACGTTTTTAAAAATCTTGAACCAGACCTAATAATTGAGATATTTTCTTTTCATGCTTCACCTTTACTCAGAAGTCTGACGTTTCTCCCCCTCGGGTCTGACGGTCCCTGCACTGGATCCTTCTCGTACTCATCTCATTAGTGGTCCTCTGTCCTTTCCCTCGTTAATCCTCCCACATAAATCAGATTCTACCAAGAAAATAGAATTCATCTCACTCCAGTGTTAATGGATTGCTGAGTGCCTCCCCCCGCAGCTGCCCTGAAGGAAGGAGTGATGAAGGAGGAGTGGCAGGCAGTTCCGTTGTGGGGGGACATCCCATGGCCATGGGAGGCACACAGAGCTTCCTCCTCCTCTTGGCCCTGACCGTACAAGGGGGACCCAGTACTGGAGGCAGAGAACCCTCTCCTTGGACCTGAGAGAGGAGCATCAGGCAGGTGAGCAGCCCCCAGGACAGGCTGGCGAGGGCCGTGGGAGGCAGCATCGTGTCTGCGGCAGGAGGCGGCAACCAGAGGACCTAAGGGGAGGGTGGGCAGAGGGGCCGTGAGAAACCCCGTGTGGTCCCTCCTGTCTCCGCCTCTGTCTGGTCTTCTAGGAACAAATCGGGCTTGAAGGCGCCACCCCCGCCTGTAGTTCTGGAGAGACCTTGAGACTCTGTCCGTCCCGCCGACCTGAGACCTCCCAGGGCTGCCTTTGCTGAGGCTCAGAGCCCCTGTGATCCCCGAGCCAGGGACCCCTGTACATCGTCCCTGACATGTGGGAGCTGGAACCCCTGCGCGGGTCTCATCCCCTCTCAGCTCCCACCTACCTGCCTTGCAGGGTCTGCGCTGGGTTCTCAGGGAAGAAAAGCCTGGGCCTTTACAAGAGGATTTGAGGGAGGGGCAGTGAGATGAGTAACGGGGAAGTGGAGCCAGGACAGGGGTTATGGGAAGTGTCTGGCATTGATTCGAGGAGCTTCCCGCCACGGGGAGGAGCCTCTCCCCAGCCAAGGCTGGGAATTTTCACAGGCGTTGCCTCTTTTCCGTGAGCGGAGCGGTGCTTTCCCAGCAACAGGTGAAGTCTGCACTTCCCCCACCTTTGTCCAGGTACCTTGTTCTCCAAATCTTCCAGGAATAGCAGCAGCCTGGTGACAAAAATTCTGTTTCATTATTTAGAAAATATTTGACATCGGGTCCTTAAGGAATCACCAAAAGTGTATTTTGGGGCAATCTGCCAAAAACTCATTCTTGCAGGCGTACATATGTGTTTCATTAATCCTTGTCTTTTATGATTGATGTGAAAAACAAATTAATATGTCAAAGTTGGGTGTGTATAAAACTGGAAAATACTGCCGAGGGCCATCTATTAGTCGAGGAAAAATAAAGAAGTGAAACCAGCGAAGGAGCAACGGCTCAGCGCGGCTGCTTCTTTGCTGCAGCGAGGTGCGAAGGATGCCTGGACGTTGCTACGGCAACCGGCGAGCCAGCATCGTAAGGAAGGGGCAGGTGGATTTGCCTGCCGGCCACCTCTGCGTGGGGAGGCTGAGAAACAGTTCTTCCATTCAGTTCAATCCTGAGCTGGGGATCTGATACTTCAGATTATGGTCTGCAGAGCCCCGGGGGTCTTCAGGACCATCTCAGGGGGGCGGTCAGGTTTTCACGTTCATTACTATACTGAAATCGCATTTGCCTTTTTTACTGTGTTGACATTTACACCGGTGGATGGGGTGCAGGCAACGGCGGGTGAACGTTCGGGTGCCTCGCATTAACCCAGGCAGCACATCAACCCTCTTCTTATCTGTGTGTTTGCAAGAAACAAAACAGATGTTTCCCTTTAAAACGTCCTTGATGAGCTGGAGGAATCAGTAAAAATAACTCATTTTAGTAAATCTTTACGCTTGAGTATGTGTTTTCAGTATTCCGTATGACTGGATGGGAAGTCCGCATACCAATATACGTGTAACAGTAGTCTTGAGAAAAGCATTTACAACCAGTTCTAACCCACCATTTTCATGGAAAACAGTTCTTACTTGAAAATGGACTGAGAGACAAATTTTTATTCACATTGGTTATCCACATGAACAAAAAATAAATTGGATTCCCACCCCTTAAAATATAAAAACAAAACAACAGCCAAAATAAAACAAGACAGATTGCAGGAGAACCGATGACTTAAACGTGAAAACTAACATTTAACAATTTTAAGAGAAAATATTAAAAACTACGTTTTTGACTCTGGTTTAGGAAGGTGTTTCTTAAACACAAAAAGCACAAACTATAAAATAAAATATTGCTAAATAAGACCACTTTAAAATCAAAATCAAAATAAAGTAATTGTATAAGAAAATGCCATATATACATATACAGCTCTGAGAAACAATTGATTTTTAAAATATGCTTATAACAGTAAAAATCAGCAAGGGAAAGAAAAATGCATTCACTAGAAGAGTGAAAAATACAGGCACGCATTTCAGTGAAGCAGCAGCAAAGTGGGCAATGCATATATGACAATATGTCACCCCATCAGCAAACACTAAAATTAGAACAGAAATGAAATGTAATTTCACACCTACCAGATTGACAAAAACGAAATTTTGACTTTCCAAGATCTTGGCGATGATTTGGAGCAACGAGGCTTCTCCGTTGCTGCTGGCGGCAGCGTTGATTGACACAACCCTTTAGGGAAACTGGCATTTTCTTAAACCCTGGTACTCAATGGTTTTACACTGAGGAATACACAGCTTTCATGTGAATGCCGAGGACTATATACACACAGGAATGTCAGCAGTATCGCTGGTTATCATGGCAAAAAGCCAGAAACAAGCCCAGTGTCCACTAACAGGAAACTGGATAAGCGTTTTGCGATTTAAGTAAGCAGTGTATCTGAGTGAAACTGAGTGAACCCCTCTTACAGCATCAGGGTGGTTTGACCTCAAAGACTCAACATTGAGGAAAAGCTGTCAAAGTATAGAAGATTATATACTGTGTCACTTCCCTTTTCAAAAGGTCAAAAACAAAGATTTGAAGAAAGATTCTATGTCATTTAGGCAGATTATATACATAATAGAATTACGGGGCACGATAAACTCAGAATTCCGAATTGTTACATCCGAATGAAGAGAGAGGGCAATGACTGGAATGAGGACACGGGAGCTTCAAGTATGTGAGTAGTTACATACTTTTCAAGTACAGCGATATGTACTTGAAGTTTTACAAAAATGATTCTTTGACTTATGTACATGTTACATTTGTTGTCCCCTCTGTATAAAATAGATGATATTAAAACTGAAAGGAAATTGAATTTAGTAATAGGAGAAGACTAGAAATGATTTTAAATGGCCTTGAAATGATTGGCATTAGTGCATAGAAATCAATCTAAAACCAGTTGTTAAACTGCAGATAAAGGTTTCGCCAAGATATCAGCCAGGTGTGGTCATCCGAAAGCTCGACTGGGGCTGAACGATCCAAGAAGACTCATGATCATGCAAAATCTGTGCTGACTGCTGGCCAGAGGCTTCAGTTCCTCGGCACACGGCCCCTTCCTTAGGCTTCTGGGGTGTTCTTACCAGGTGGTAATTAGCTTCCTCCAGCACAAGTGGTCCAGAGAGAGAGCAAGGCGAAACCACCGCTGGCACATGAGACAAAAGCTTCAGATGTTGCACGTGGTCATTTCTGCAAGGTCTTACGGGCAGCACAAGTCAGCCCCGTCCAGCCAGCGTGGGACTGCACGGCAGCGAGGACGGCAGGGATCGCTGGGGGCTGTCCTAACAGAGTGCTGCCGGAGCCGGAACCTGGTGCGTCGCCAGCCATCGGTCAGAAACCCCGCGCCAGAGGCTCGGTCCCGTGTTTCTCCCCTTGGAGGCCTTTCTGAATCTGTGTGGTATTTACTATTTTCACCTGGGAGAAGGAACTTCACTCAGTTTCATCCAGCAGCTCTCAGACTTCAGATAAACTTGGGTGCGTGAGGGAGCAGAGGACGGGGTGTTTAGCTCCTGCTGTCTGCACACTCTGATGTCCCTACCTATTTAAAATGTTCAGTTATGAACTGAATTTATCAGCCCTCTCCTCTCTGAAACCTTTCAGGGATTTCTTCATCATGCATTCTTGGGATGAGCTATTGCTGGAGGGCAAACTAAAAGTCAGTGGCTTAAAGCATCAACGCAGTATCATTTTTCGTGGTTTTGAGAGTTGACTTACTTCCATGGTTCTTACTTTTTGTGGTTCTTCCTAGAGGTTCCTTATGCAGATAGCAGCTGGCGCTGGAGTCATAGGAAGGAGGGAATGCAGGGCTGGACCTCAGAGGCAGTCACCTTCACGAGTGCACGCGATGCTAACTATTACTGGCGGAGAGCTCAGCTGGGTCTGTTAATTAGCGTGTCAACACAGGACCCTTCTGCCTGGCTGGACTTCTTGTAGCATGGAGGTGTCAGCACGGCAGGGGTTTTACTGTTGATCAGGGCTCTTAGAGGGCAAGGCAGCAGGGGCCAGTCCTCTCAGAATGGGCTCAGAAACGACATTAAACCATGTATACCATACTCTATTGGACACGCCTGAAGTTTTATTCCCAGCACCTAGAACACTGAGCACCCAACACTGTTCATTGAATAAGTGAATGTGTTTATTCATAATGGCTTTGATAGTCATAGCAGTTGCATTTAATTTCATGATGTCTTACAGGTTTAGAAGGTTTGGATTTTAACTTTATGTCCTTCATTTAATGTGTTATTTTGAGGAAGTAATTTTATCCTCCCTTCTTGGATTCTGTGCTTCTCAGTTTTCCAGCGGGAATCTGGGACAAAGTCGTCTCTGAGGCACATCCTGTAATTCTCCTTTTGTTTGTCTGGGATGCCCTAATATCATGCGTGTGGGTTATCCTCACGTTACCGTCTCAGGTACTCTTTAGGAAGGCCGTCTTCTCACCTTGTTGCACCAGAGGAACCATTTCTGAGCAAACTTTGGGAAAAGTGCACACTCCCGTGGAGCCAGTCTGGAAATGGAGCCACGGCAGATCATTTTCACTCTATTACTCAGTGGCGGCTGTTAGAAACAACGAAGTTCCAGAATGGAAACGTGCACCTTAGGAAAGCACGTTACTCACGCATTCGGCGCCGTCAGGGAATTGCCGGGCTGACTTGTGCAGAAGCCTGTCTGATTACAGCCACCACTAGCTTCGCGCCCGGCACTGCGTGTGCTGAGAGCTGTGTGTGTGTGTGATCATGGTTAACATCCAGGGCGTCATTATGAGCCAACTATACCTTCATTTCTGACACAAGAAAACGACCCTTTGGAGAGATTGAATACCTTGGTCATGGTTCCTCGAAAGTAACCGAATGAGGATTAAAACCCCCAAAGTTACCGTTACCAGCTTCTTCTAGAAAGAAGAGACTTTTTTTTTTCCTATAAAAAAGAAATAAGAGTGTTGGCCTTTGCTGCAAGGCCATTAACTTCTGCGCCATGAGAGAGGAAATATTTTTCCAAGATATTTAATTTACCATTGGAAAAGGAC